TGTGAAAGCCGTAAAACTCTTGAACAAAAGCTCATCTTTCAAACCGGCAGTCTAAATCCCACAGGGATCAACGAACGCTTTTCATTCCACTAATTTATTTGTGTTTTTCTCGTTGCCATGTTCCCACCAATAACGTAGCTCCATTTTCTGCCTTTAAAAGCACACACAACCCACAATTCCTCTACTCGCTCCGACGAAGGGCTAACGCTCGAAACGTCAGCTTTTGTAATCGTTATGGTGGCCAATTTACCATTTCAACTTTGTTGATATATCCAAATTAGATAGATAACAAGTCTTACCTGATAAGTTTGAGTATTCTCATTACCTGTTTGCTGGTTGATGTATGGATATTAAGGATAGAAGTTACCTGTGAATCACTTCCGGGAGTTAAAGGGCAAAGAGGCACGAGACTAAAGTTTTAATCAGAAAATGGCTTTAACTACCTTTAGTCAAAATAGGTGCGTCAACTGTCATGGAGTGTCATGTTACTAATTATGCTCAACATCTTAAAACTAAATTTTTACAATCTTTACGTCTGAGAATAGTCTTTTGAAATTGTATTGAGATGAGCAATCCATGACTTAATAATTTTTTTTTAATCTCGTCAATTTAGCTTCAAGAAGATTTACCCATGGACCCATTCCGGCCTGCGTCGCCGATCCATGGGAGACTAGACCCAGTCTCGTATGGAAGCTATTCGGACGCAGCCATTCCTTTCCCTCGCACCTCTGGTGCAAAATTTTGTGCATGTGGTAAGTAAAGGGGTACATCACGTGCTTTTTATGGCATGTTTTATCACAACATCACTGAGAAGCCGAATTTTTCTTTTTTTTGTTTAAAATCCGCACATCCAGACAGTTTTTGCTTCAAAGTTTCTTCGTTTTGAGACGCTGTTGAAATCTCGTAGGTTTCTCTTGAATCGGTCAGGAGTCAATCACAAAAAAAGACGTGTTTTGCTTTGTATTCAGTGGATCGTTTGCTCTTGCACAGGTTGTACAATTTGATCAGAGCCCTGTTTGTTTGTTCCTTTGTCCTTGTCACGAGAAAATTTGTTTATCCAATTATCATTATCATCATCATTATTATCATTATTATTATTATTAGTGTTATTATCATTATTATCATTGGTAGTAGAGGTGTCGTAAGCCTAAATATATATCTAGGGCCATCAACGGACATAATCTGCTGGGAAAACAGTGCAAAAACTTGGCAAAGTTGGATTTTCATCCCCTTAGAAATTTAATCCCCAAGAAAAAGGAGACAAAATATAATTTTAGAAACGAATTATGTTATTGCTCCAAAGTTGATACAGGCCATTTTAAAAATTCTTTTTTAAATCGCCCAATTTTCAAATACAAGGCAGCGTAGTAAGTTTAATTTTGTTTTTTTACATGTTTTTACTATTTTTTTAAGTCTTTGCTACTTTAAAATAGGGACCTTACGCAATCAGGACGGCAACGCCAAGGAAGACTTCGATTAAAAAATGAATTTCTACTCTTAGTTAGAATTTCAAAAATGGTTGCAGGAATTTCAAAAATTAAGAATTTCAAAAATGGCGCCACAGCTCAACTTCAGCATGACGTATAAATCATCCGTTGAGTTTCAAATGGAAATTAAAATAATGTGCCGTCGTGGTTTCGGTTCGCAGAAGACGCAAATTTTGGCAATTTAACGTTGTTGTTTTGCATAGGACGGCTAAGAAATGTACAAAGTTTCAAAACACACGTGCTGAGCTGTTGTTCTGCCAATTAGATCTCTTGTTTTTCCACGTCCACTTTGCCGTCGCCGTCGTGGTTGCGTAAGGTCCCTAATGTTTCACTTTGGGACGTTAGCTATGTAAATTTTTATGTTGTGAGTAAGTAGACACTACTTCTACCATTATCATCATTTTTATTTCAGGGTTACTTGTGTGCTTCAATTTACCGGGAAGATATAGTGGCCGTGTGGGGTCTGGTGGAGAGCCAACTCCCAGGTACTACTTATCCCCAGGAGTAATGGACGCCTGACATAACTGGTAGTTTTCAGTGAATGTGTTTGTTTCAGGATGATATTTCGAAATCGGGAGAAGGAATACTGTGTTTATCTGAAATGCGCACCATTCGACTCTCTCTTTTAGAGTAAGTTTAACACCCGTTTATCAGCCCTAGCCTATCTGTTCTCGGATTTGCGTCTAGTTTCTACTAACCACGTTGTAGTGTGCACACCTGCGTGTGGTTCGATCCAATCTAGAATTTTGAACCAATATCTCGGGAAACTTCTTCAAAATAACGCGTCCTCATCGCTATGCAGCCTATCTCGTCCCTCCCATTTCCCATTTCCCCCTTCCCCCGTTTTCCCCCACCCCGTTTTCTCCTCTCCCTGTTCTCTCCTCCTACTTTCCTCCTCTCCCGTTCTCTCCTCCCCCTGTTCTTCCCTCCTACTTTCCTCTCCCCTCGTTCTCTCCTAGAAATGTTTATTTAACCTCTTTGATTGCTACCAGCCTCGACTCACAGTGGAAAGCAACCATTGAATTTTTGATATGTCTGACTTTTATAATTTCTCTCCTTAAACCATTGATCTAAATTAAAATCATCTCAAAGGAACCTTTGAATGGGCCAAGGTATCACTCCTCAAAAAAAAAATACACGAGATGGGTTTTACATCCGGGCTATTTCTAACTTTTCATTTGCGTTCTTATTTTCCTTGTACAGGTCCCTGTCGGCCTTTTCTGCGTACAGCTCTCGCCCCAGTGGCGGCCCAGCTCTCCCTCCTCTCACAAACAGCTCGCTTCAGAAGTACAGACCTACATTCGGTGCATTCGGACAACAATCGTCTGCAAGGAACATGATGTTCAGATCGTTAAACCAGGTGAGCAGAAATGCGCCTTCTGTTTTGTGGATTGTAGGGTAGCAGGGATGGCAAAATGCCGGGAAAGTGCGCCTGTTACTATCGTGATCTTACTAACCCATAATTCTCTATTGAATTTCTTACGTTATTAAGTTTTAAATTGACTCGCCTTCATCCAAATATAATATAATACAAATTACGCTGTTTTAAAAGGATATCCAGCTCCGAGAAAAGCCGCAACTGCGCACGTGTAAAATTACGATAAATTCTACGTGTGTTTGATATTGCCAATCAGCTGCTGATACATCACTCGCCTTTTGTGCCACTCATTCATTAATAAAGTAGATGCTTCTTGTCAGTAAAGGCCTGTGGTGTTTACATAATAATCAAAATAATATAATGGTTGCTTTTAGATGTGGAATTTCTCTTCTCGCGTTCAACTCGATATCTCACTCGTTTGCTGCATTCATTTTTGAGAAATCCAACAGAACCCTCGAAGAGAAAAACCATATCTACGCATGTCCATGTATTATTTTCAATTTATTATCATTCCCGGTCTCTTAAATTTGCCCTTTAAAGGTGAAAAGAAGTTACAAATTCATCACCGTTGACTTATTGTGTTGTTTCAAGCAGCAAGGTGATTTACATGATGCACAGAAGTACGGTGGAGTGACCTCAAGGAGTAGCGATGTTGGCCCCGTTGTGATTCGTGACGTCAGTGCTTTGATGCCCATCCACCAGTCATTGGGACAAGCCTACACGTAAGTTCGACCGATTAATTTCCGTATTGTGCAGAAAAAAAGTAGTGAGAAGGTACACAAAACACCTTAGATCAACAATTCATGAACAGTCAGAATTGCTTAGCCTTGCTACCATCGTTGCGAGAGAAGCAGAGATGCTTTGAATGTAAACGATAGTATTTCAAATCCATTGTAACAAATGCGTTAAAATTCTCGGAAACAGATCTGATCTGGTAAGATGCACATAAGTATACTAAAAGTTTTGAAGTTAAGAAATTTTACCATGTTGTTTTCAAGGCTGGAAGGAAAGAAAATCACTGAAATATGTAAAAAGAATCTGGCAGCTGCTATGACAACTGGCCGCAAAGACCTGGTACAGACGTGGTCGCTTTTGAGTTCAGTCCTCGATAAGAAGCTCGCGCCCACTGATTCGATGGATGAGACGCCCTGGGCACTACATCCATTTGGACGGAAAATGATCAAATCCCTGTGAGTAAACAATTCATTCTTGCTAAGCGATCCTCAATTAACAACTAACACAAAATGACTTCCTCTAAATACTAAGACATCACGAGGATATCTACCATTTACGAAAACATGCCAATCGAAAACCAGAGCCTGTTTCATCTGGCAACGAAGATGGCAAGCACAGACTCACCGAGATATTCATGCTCCGACTTTCCTCAAACAAAACACGGAGCTCAAAGATAGCAGCTCATCTACCACTTTCCTATCAACAGAATGGATTATTACTTGGGCATCCGGGACATTCAGATGTTAGGAATGCTGGCATGTGTTCTGGCCCACCCCTCCCTCCCAGAACCCTTCAAACCTCCTAAAGTTGACTTTAAGCCGGAAGTCGTTGCATCGAGCAAGTTGTTCACTTATGGCTCGTCCTCATCACAAGTCGCTGATACTCCTTATCAAGTAAGTGGCCACTGTTATTAGGTGTGAAGGAGGGGGCCTGGAAGGTTTAATTTTTTTTTTGGGGGGGGGGGACGGCGATGAGAGGGGTGGTTAAATTTTGAATAAATATTGTTTGAATTGCAACTATAAGTAAGGGCAGAAGTCAGAATTTTGCATGTCTTTTGCCACGAACAGAGTGACACAGAGTTGAAGACGGAATTGAGGATGATATTGCTGAGGCGTTTTACGATTTTGCATGACGAAGACGCACTGGTTACAATTGAGATGATTTAATTATAACAACTATATTAGAAGGATTCAACGAAAGTAGGAAAGCAAATGCCAGAATCGAAAGTCGGAAGTCGGACATCCCGAACTGGCTCTCGTGGATTTTCAAAGTAACACGATTCCTACAGTAAAAATGATTTACCGAACAACAAGCGGTTAAAAAAATTTAGCTTATTGAGGTGCTATAACCCATTCCTCTCAGATACCGGTAGAGCGCCATTACCAATTGAATTACGAAGGAATATGTAAGATAGTAGTGGGTTCTTTCGTTCCCTGCTGAAGAATTTGACCACAAACGTTGTAATTGACGAATAGTATCTAAGCTGTTGATAATACACGACAAAGATACCCTCATAGATAAACTTGAATTCGGAAAAACCTCAGAAATTTTCTTAAACAATTACCTGTGAAGTTGAATTTGTTACTCTTGTTGCGTATCTTGTCTTAAAGTCCAACAAGAGGCCAAAATCTGTCGGGGGTGTCATAACAGAACAGCCAGCTGATATGTCACCAGCGGAGGAGCAGTGGAGCGAGATTTCATTTCCTTATAGTGGTGGCTGGTCGCCGCCTGTGTTCATTCGAGCACAAAGTCCTCGAGATGAACAGCGGAAACAGTACGAGAAAGATTGTCGGTGAGTTTAGCGATTTCTTCTTTCACTTTCATGATAAAAACAAATTATCTTGCAATTCCCCAGCACCACAGTTTCATTAGAAACTTAACACTTTTATTCATCTGGAGCTTATTCTACTTACTGTGCACGAAATGACTAGAAAGGTTGCTACGCCTTTTGAATGGGGAGCTTGTCCATCGCAAATAACCTCTCAGTATATTTCCACTTTTTCTTTCCTTCGCTGGGACCAATTCCTACTCCTGGCTGGAGAGAGGCACCGTGGACGTTTGGTGTCGTGCCTAATATTTCCATCTATTATAATTTATATTATTAAAAACTAGATCATTGGATAATGCAATTCAAGACTTTTTATTGGCTTAGCCATTATGGTATATCAGCCAATATACCATAATCTACAAATATGGTAAGCGTACGTGTCAGCTTAAAATCAAAAGAGAGCTAAAAATTTAATAAAATTTAATAATTTAATTTAACGTTTTTAATAAAACAATTATTCACCAAAATTCCAGACCTCAGGTATGGACAAAGACATAACCGCTTTCTACAGACCATGATTTTCTCATCACATTCGACTATTGTAATTATTTCCTTTTTCAAGCAGCGATGTCACTTGAAACTAACTAATTACTTGACATAGCCTAATACTGGGAATCTTTTCCAGATTTGTCGATAGTTCAGAGCTTCAATTACACGATCATTACATGAACCAATATGCTGATGTTTTGTACCGCTGGAATCTGTTGGGCAAGAGAGCTGAAGTCATCAAATTCCTAAGTGAACCTCAAAAACCACACAGCGGAGTAGGTGAGTGACCAGGGGTATTTTTTGGTCTCGGTAGCGTAAAGATTTAGCCAAGCCTTTTACAGGGTTGCCACGGTCAGGGAAGAGTCAGGGAAAAACAAAAATTTTTCAAGGTCATGGAAAAGTCAAGGAATTTTGCAAAACGTCAGTGAAAAGTCAGGGAATTTTGTTTTGAGGGTTCCACAAAGGTTTGTGAAGTAGGCGATCGAGTGTAGGAAATCGGATAGAAAGCTTAAAAGCGATGGAGAAATGTAAAAGTGGATTTGGCCTGTTTGATAATTAATTTAATTCAAGGTCAGTGAAAAATGTTTTGAGGTCAGTGAAAAGTCAGGGAATTTTTTGGGTTCTTATGAGTGGCAACCCTGTTTTAGTGGAAGCGGAGTTGTAGTGAGCTCATTTTACGGCTCTTTATTTTATTCCCCGCTGGTAGCATATTTGCTAACTTACGTTTCTTCTTGACTCGGCGAGATGCCATTTTTCTTAGACATGAGGCTTTGCTAACGCGCTTCGCAAGCGGAATTGCATGAAAACGATATAGTTAAATCATTAAATATCATTTTGATGATATTTTTTGTCTTTTCGGTCGTAGAATTCAGTACCCGCTGTTACAACTGTCCTCAGATGTTTCGTGGAGCTCAGTGTGGCACTTGCAAAGCGCTGGGTTTTCAGTGCGTTATATGTCATGTGGCTGTTAGAGGTAAGGTAAAGGGGATTTTACTGACAGTCGGTTAAATACCGCGATGATGATTGTGTAATGTGTGTAAGACGTGTGCGTGACTAACGTGACCTTGACGGATACCAAGTCCTTTTCATCGGTTTCCTGATGTGATGCCTTGTTCAAGTGTAGCATTACTGAAATATTAGGATGTACAGGAGGTAGCTAAAACATAGACTTTTTAACAAGGGCCTTATTTTGGTGTTTCTTTTTCCTGGCGCTTTGTTTGTGCGTTTTTTTGTCAAATACTGAACAAGGGCTCTCCATATTATTGCAAGATAATTTGTTTTTATCATGAAAATGAAAGAAGAAATCGCTAAACTCACCGACAATCTTTCGTACTGTTTCCGCTTTTCATCTCGAGGACTTTGTGCCTTATTTTGGTGTTTCTTTTTCCTGGCGCTTTGTTTGTGCGTTTTTTTTGTCAAATACTGAACAAGGGCTCTCCATATTATTGTTTGATGTTAAAATGGGCCAGAAGTAGTCTCACTCTTGTACCAGTCGTCTCAAAATCCCTGTTCTAAGTTTCCTGGAGTCAAACGGCACGCGTTTCTCCGCCCTCGTACGTCTCTCTCCTTGTGCAATAGCCTTTCCTTCGTGCGCGTGAGTCGTGTCTTCCATGTGCAGCGCAGCCATGGTAAATACGAAAGAAATTCTAAGAGGAATTATATTTCAAATTAAATCAACAATTCAACCCCTTAAAGATACGAGTAGTGGTCACGATTCTCCTTTTTAGAGTCTTTAAGGACTGTCAGCTCGACTTTCTTTTTGGGGGAGAAAAGAATATCAAGGACAGTCCCAAAAAAAAAAAAAACACTGATAAATAGATTGTCTACAAATAGAATTTTATCCATGCGATCAGGAATCCTTGATTGTGATATGTTGTTTTCTCTTTTGTTTCTGAAGGCGCCAGTAATTTCTGTGTGGCGTGCGGTCATGGCGGGCATACATACCATCTTATGACGTGGTTCGAAACAATGGACGTCTGCCCGACTGGGTGTGGCTGCCGGTGTTTAGAGGTTGGCACATTTATCGTCGACTGACTGCATCCGTATACAAATTGGTCGAATAACAACAATTGCTACGACGACGTGCTCCAGAAACTTTGGAAATAAGAGCAAATTAAACTCGATCGAGGAGTACCGGGAAATGCTATCAAGATTCTTCAAAGTGGTAAGCGCAAACTCGGTACATAAGAGGTTTCCATTCATTTTGATTGTCAAGACTAACCCACAGTAGAGGGACGCCATTCAAGGAACATGAGAGCACTGGACATACCTTTGAACGGACTAAATTTGATGCGGGACAAATGGGAAGACACGGTGTCCTTGTTGTTACCCGAAAATTGCGACACATTTTGATTAAGTGGAAAGTAGAGAGGAATTTCAGAAATATAGTAGAAAACATTTGAATCAGAAGTTGAAAATTGACTAAAAGCCCAGTGGAAGGAATCAATCAAAAGTAGTAACGAGTAACCAACAGGTCTTAAAAGTTGAAATGCAAGTCTGAAAAATTTCAGGCCGCGGTTGGGTTTGAACTCCTAGGCACCATGGCCGCCTCTACTAACAACTATAAAGCTACATGTTGAAAGTGAAGCAAATTGTAGTGACCTCCTTGTCCCCCATAAAGAAATTTGATCGCAATTAAATCCAACCAGTTATTGTTTTTGGTTATTGAGGTCTCTTTGGGAAGAATTCTGCTGACGTGCGAACAGAACGCTTCAGACGTGGTCAGTGCAGGGACCTGATTATTTAAAAAACCGAAAAAAAAAACCTGCATTGGTTGCGGTTGATTTTTTAATTTATTTTCTAGCTTTTGACGTTTTCTTGCGTTTATTTCTACCTCTAACTTTTGTCTCAAAGTTCGAAAAAAAAATTATAAAAATTCCGCAATTTCGTTAGTTCAAATAAATGCCTTTTGGGAGTTGGCTTTCTATTCTAGATCAGTCCCGTGGGATGTAGCTAGGATATTCATAGGGGGTGGGATGGCGCCACGGTTAGGAATTTCTGCACGAACCCATGAAAATCACGTGCATGTCAGTCGTTCATTCTAATCAGGTGAGCAGTGCCGAAAATTAACTTCCATAGCAAAGTTCAGCGGTTTTTTTTTGGTCCTACTAGTGTTTTGCTGTTTACCTATATTATCCTTGAATCATTTCTTCAAAAACAGGAAAGGTGTTACACCTGGCTGTGAAACTACAAAAAACAATTCTCTCCCAGTGCGGTCTCGAGATCAGTTGCAAGTGTACTTCAAGAGAAGTACTGTAAACAACATTTCGTGTATGAATCAAGTGCGCCATTGTAGAAATGTTTTCAAAGTTTCAGTCATTCGCCAGGTAATGGTGCGTTTCTGCTACAATTTTGTTCCCTTAGGAATCTTTTATCTGGCTAACAAGTTTGATGATCAAAACTCTTATCGAAGTACAGGCAGATGTCCTTGGGGAACTTTTCAACGTGACCAGAATGTTCTTTTGCCGGAAAGTATTTCAGGAAGGGGCGACAACTTCTATAAGTGTTTTCGACTGAGACTTCATGTTTGGGTTACGGATTTATTTGTCAAAGGATTGCGACTAGTAAACCACTTCAGAGTTAGACTTCAAATCCGACCTCTTGTGAATAACAGACCACCCTCCCCAGCCAGGCTCCTAACGACGAACTAGGGTTTGAGATGTGACGGAAATTTTTATACTCTTACTCCCTCGTTGATTTTTATTGCTTTTCGCTGACTTCATTTCAAGAAAACACATCTTCTTTAATATGCTTTGTTACTATTTTATCCTCGCGGAAGTTAGACCGGAAAAAATCACGAAATATCTTTTACCAGTCATGTCGCCGATTGTCTTGGGAAACAAAAACAGAAAAACTGTTATCGTCCTTTTTTACAACAACAAACTTGTTTATCTCTTTCGTTAACGCAGCAATAGCGGACGATTTATAGTGCGAACAGAAGTTTGTGTTTAAACGGTTTTTTTTTTTTTTGTTTGTTTTTTGACTGTCCAAAAAGGAACTGCTGTACAGTGGAACGCGAACAGCAAGCTGCGAACGGTTTTCTCACACGCCACTTTCTTTAAGATGTTTGATCGCGTCACGCGAAGCGGTTTGGATGGAATGCGTTGCATGACGAGACCAATGGGATTTCATTGGCGAATCCATGGAGAACGTCTGGGTGTCCGCCCCTTCATCCTCCCCCACAAGAAATTTGGAGATTCCACTAATTGGCTAAAACCAAAAGTGTTCCCACTCCAGGACTGCATATTACAACTCCACCTTAAATACAGCTAACTTCATCATCTCGAATTCTCTCCTAGCTTATTTAGGCTTGAAAGAAATAATTAAAAATTCTAGATTCGACCCTGCAGTTTGCTCGTGGCGCTGTTTCATCGTGATAAGTTGTGTTTGCTATCAACTACAAACGCCTTCAAATATTCGATCAAATAAAGGAAACATTTTTTTAGTAATTTTATGTTCTGCTAGCTTCGACACCTCGTGTGTTCTGGAATGACTAGGGACCTTAAGCAATTGGGACGGCAACGCTAAGGAAGACGTCGATTAACTGAAAAATTAATTTCTACTTCAGTTAGAATTTTGAAAATGGCTGCATGTGTTTACCGTCTCTAACGGCGCCACACCTCAACTTCAGCATAACGTATATTAGCTGCGTTGAGTTCCAAATGGAAATTACAATACATACATACATACATAAACTTTATTTCCCTTCGGATTTATGAATAGCACTAGATGTGCTTGTATCTCCGAACATATAACTACAAACAAATGACAATAATTTTAAAATCGAAAGACTCTAATAAAACCTCATATAAAAATGCTAATAATTATATACTAATCCCCACTAAATATATAACTCCTAATGGCACGTTTAAAAGCTGCTAGAGTGTCTGACATTCTTAATTCATCTGATAAGCTATTCCATGCAGAGGCAGCAAGATACCTGAAAGAGTGAAATTTGCCGTCGCGGTTTCGCTCTCAGACGACGCAAATTTTGGGATTTCACGTTGTTGTTTTGCAAAGGACGGCTAAGAAATGTACAAAGTTTTAAAACGCACGCGCTGGCTATTCTGGCTGCCCTTTAGATCTTTTATTTCGCCACGTCCTCGTTGCCGTCGCCGTCGTGGTTTGCTTAAGGTTCCTACTACCTGTTTGGGTTAAGGTGGCTGAACACAGTTTTGATACCTTTGTTTCTTTCACCATTTTCTCTAAAACCCTTGATCTCTCGCTCGGTCACCAAAACTGGCAGCAAACAAGTTAACAACACAAACTTTGTTTTTTTTTTATAATTAAGCTGACGTATGTGTCGTTGCCATGGCGACGTGATTAGATATAAACAGGAGATTAAAATCGGTTTTATTTACTTGTAGAAAATCTAGTCATTAGATTTTCTTTATAACTTGCATGCAACAAGCTTGTAACGATGCTCACAAGTTGACACCATTTTACTAACAATTTAACAGAGAGATCTTCAATTATCCCTTGTTGAAGGTTCACTCGATTTTCTCGAATTTCCTTTGTTTAAAATCAATTTTTTCAGTACTCCAGTTACTTATTTCCTAAAGTATTTTCGTGCCAAATTTCGTGAAATTCTAATAAGTGGTTCTCAAGAAATAGGCATATTTCCGAGAAAGCAATTTTCCATTCAATCGCAATTTTCTTACTTACTACGCATGCGCTGCATTTAACTGGGTTCTTTCGGTAACGACGAAAAAGCTGAGAACTGCTTGGTTCTTTGCACCGTTAACTTTTCTAACATGTCTTTGTAATAAAAGATTAAAGCCCCCATACACTGCGCCAGCTATAGAGAAAAATAGCACAGATAGTGCGGGTAAGTGTTGAGTAAACAAAATGACCGCTCTACTGACGGCATGTTTGTGTTTTTACAATCCTTGTGCGCGCGCTGAATTGCATCAGCAAAAGCGCGCGCGAAAACTTTGTTCAGCCACCTTAACCCAGACGTGATCAACATATAACTTCTCCCTATGAGAGTAATAAGAATCCTCAAACTTATCAAGCAACAGTTGTAGTCTTGATCTGAAACCAAATTCGCATAACTAATTGACAAGGAAATGTGTGGCATTGACGATCAGATCTTGGAACTTTTAAGGGTTAAATACTTATGGCTACCGCTTGCCCCGAAGGCTCAGTTCATATTGGCGTACGTGTTTCATATTGATCTACCACTCGGTTCAGGATGTTTTGCACAAATATTTGCCTTGTAGATCAGGTATTATTGTACTTAAAAGGCAGACAAACAGGAAAACTCTTAATTTTTTCATTTTCATTGGTAAAGAGTCAAGTACGTGAACTGCAAATAACTTCCACAAAGTGTGGTTTACGCACGCGCATTACAGTCTAACTGTGAATTGCTCATGCGTAACTGTAGCCACACTCGTTCGTAGAAAATGGTAGATTGCTTCCCTAGGCAATCAGTGCAATTCTCCAAAAATGACTATGAAAAGCAAATTAATTAAATAAGACAGTGAGCTCAGTTGTCCCAAAAGAGGATGACTTGTCAATCAGGTGTCGCGCAGGTAATTACCAAAGCCTTCTAGTTCAAGAACTAGTTCGTTATTTATGTTTGACAAATCGTGCTGTCACTGTAAACCTCATCTAGTGGCTTTAAACAACAAACTATGAGCTGCTCGAGTTCACTTGCTGTTATTCTTCAACTCCCAAGATCTGATAATAATAAGGTATTAGTATATACTAAAACAGTGGATAGCGTTGAAGGCGCGCTCTGATTGGCTAGTAAAACTCCGAATATCCTTTGCTATTTACCTCCGAGCAACTCGGGAAATAATGGCGTCCCGGTTTGCATCCGTGACAAGCGAAGAAATCACTCAAATTGACGACGGTGGTGTATATTGTCTCACTGTTTTAGTATATACTAAAACAACTATTAACCTCAGTGTCGGTGGTTATCGGTTGATATTTACCCTGCCGCTTCGCGGCTCGGTAAATATCCACCACTAACCACCTCCACTTTGGTGAATAGTTGTTAATTATCGTTTGTCTCACGATGTGGTCACTTATGATGTGAATCGCTACGTTTTGACTTTACCACGATGACCAAGCACAACCTTTTTTACGAAATTCATCCTAAGATCTGATCGTTAATTCTTCCCTCTAGCTACTACACATTTCCTTGTAAATTGATTACTAGAATTTGGTATTGTACCCATGTAACAAACTCTACCTGATAATCTTGAGTATTCTCATTACCTGTTTGCTGGATTATGTATGGATATTATAGGGAGAAGGTACATGTTAATCACTTTGGGAGTTTAAATTCTGGTAACAAACACTTCGGACGCTATCTTGGCGAACGAAGTGACGCAACCAATTGAAAACTTACGTAAACAAGGCCTGTAGCAGTTGAAGTTGTCATAAGCGCACGATTATAGTCAAGAGTGACGGAGACAGACAAAGAAACTTAAAAAAAATGAGCCCCAACAACCGAAAGACTATCATCTGTGCAAACTGTAACTTTGCCAATTCTGTGAGGCCAAATATTTTTGTGTAGCTTGCTGAGAGCGCTTGAAGAGCCTAGCTGCTTACAAACCCATATAATCCTGTCATCCTGACAATAGATAAACACAAATAGCTGCTTATTTTAAGAAGACAGTTGAATTTTGTAACGTCAGCCATCAGCTTTAATGTAGTGACATGATATCGCTTCTATAATTTGAATATATAGACTATATGCTTTATATCGCTATTGCCACACGCAAAGTACAGTATTGGCTTATCTGTTGGAATTTCGATATGACGGAAGGGCAATGTTACAAGGTTATCTATCGTCAGAGTAGTCAACAATAAAATATCATACACGAACATCGGACCAATATGTGATATCCTTCAAATCTTCCATACTCATCCTTCGGTTTTGAACGAGGGTGTTTTGTTTCCAGTCGCAACCTTTTTTTCTATAAAGCACTTTTCGCCTAATAGATGCCACTTTCTTGTTTACAGAAAAAACGTCATGTATTCGATCCTTCCTCAACACCCACCCCCTCCCCCACCCCCAACCCGACATTTGTAACGAGAACGGAAGGACATTGAAACCTTTGGTTGATTACCGAGTGACTTGGTAAAAGCTTTTTACTGTACCTTTTGATAAGTTTTTAGACTATTTAAGAACTCAGGGAAAGCTGTCCCTCACCCAAAGGTATATCTCTATTAATAAGATTACTTCCTTTTCATATAACCGTAAAAAGAAAAGTACACCCATTTCAGGCAGTACAAAAATTCGTTGCCCAAAGCACAACTTCTTCCCTCACCCAGTCCTGTCTAAACGATCAGGTCTAGTGGAAATGCCTTCGGTGTGTCTTGTGTTCATGACGAATGCGATCATTATTTCCCGAGAAACAGTACTGAAGATATTTCTCAAAAGTAACTCTCAAAGATTGGACCACTTTTCGTCATTTTTCAACCCAGACGGAAAAAGGTACGTTAAAAAGTTAATTTGAAAAATTCGATCATCACAGAAATTCAAACGTTCTGTTGAAGCGCAAAAGCAATGTCACTACAGGATCAGTCATTATTTTTTCGTCTGGGGGAGGGAAGATTTTTTTCGGAGGGGGGATCGCAGGGTTTTCAGGGAGGAACGGGGGGGATCAGTCGTCGCCAACAGAGCAGAAATTGGGGGCGACCCCAGACGATAAGCAGTGACAAGCTCCGAATTGTCTGGGTGTTGCTATTGATGAAAACCTCTCCTGGAGATATAACATTGCTCACATCGCCTCGAAAATGAGCTTGTCAATCGGCATTGTTGATAGAGTAAAACATTTCGCACCCTTGTATACTTAAAAACATTTAGCCCTATTTATTGTATGGTGTAGTTCCATGAGACATGGGGCCGAGCTTACAGAACTAACAGAAGCAAAATCCTACGTGTTCAGAAACGGGCCCTCCGCCGTATATATGTTCTTTGGTGTTTATAAATCTCATGCGACATCTTTCTTCGTCTCCTCCAATCTAGTACCTTTGCATCTTTTGCATTTTAAGTCAGTTGCTATCTTAATGCCTGAATAACTAATATATTTAATTATCAATTTAATATTCACCCAACTAACACAAATTCCTTCCTTGACTCTAGACTAGATTAGCAAAGTAAATTATTTTCAAGAAACAGCGCGAATGTCTGGAATAGTCTACATGATGAAATGCCTCATACGTCTAAAACTGAAAGAGATTTGAACATTTATTACACTTTTCAAAACTTCTTGTCGGCAAATGATTACGCTGATTTACCTGATCTGATTACAAGAATGTCTTAAAAACTCGGCTTACTATTTTCAGTTGCATAACTCTTCCCGCTTTCTTGGACGTTACGATTCCTATTACTAGTATAGTTGGCCTCAATCGTTTAGTCTCCATTCCCCCTTTTTTTTTTAATTTTTTTAGCGCAATAATCAATTGATATAGACTTCGTTTCTTTTCTTGTAAAGATGAAGTGACGCGTCTCTTGTCTCGTAGTTGTTGTAATCGACGGTAATTACCAACTATTTTGTGAAAAAGATTTAAGATACTTGTCAGTTATTGTATGGTCCTTTCATTTTGTGTTTGCTGTATCCTTGCTAGATTTCGGTTAGATATTCTGTCATACGATAAACCATTACTCGCCTTGACTAGCTGTGGCTAAGGGTAAGCAGCGTTCATCTTATTTTGTATTTCAAACTAAAAATAGCTTCGAACAAACTCCAATAAACTTTTTTAAGTTGTGTGTTGTACCATGCGAAACGTCAAACACATAAACTCAAATCTGTACGACGTGTATTTTTCTCTGTCTTGCGTAGAAGTATCCCTCTACTCAAATTGCTTCCCTAATTCCCCTATCTCTCGACCCCCCACCTTCGGAAAAAAAAAACAAAAAACCCTCAAGAATCATGCTGTTGAGTTCGTCTGGTTTCAAAGTCCAGTGAATGGTCTTGATTTTACAAGTCGCACGCGTACAGCAACGAGGCCAGATGTGCAGATGACTTACTTTCAGAGTGCGCTTGCTCGATACTTCTTTACGAGAATACCATCTTGGTTCCAAGACAGAAGAAAGTTGGGAGAGAAATAAGAAATTTCTACCACGGAAGAAGCGAAAGGAGAGGGGGGGACATCAAACTTGCGCTCACTTATAACCGTGATCTCCTCAAGCTAGGCTTGCCACTGCCTAAATCTTTATCCCAGGGATCCATCGGAAATTTTGATGGGAGTTGTTTTTTTTTGACGGGGGGGGGGGGGGGGCGGTGTGCGAGGAGGGATGAACATGTGTCTAGCACAGCAGACAGAGGGATCCATCGAAAATTTTGATCGGAGATATTTTTCTGGGGGGGTGTGTGAGGAAGGATGATCGTGTGATTAGCACAGCAAGGCTTGTATAATTAGAATTTTATCACTTCTGAAATGTGATGATATTTTAAATTTCATTTTTTCGTATTTTTTTGGACAAGTTAGATGTCTACGAGAGAATGTATTGTCAACATAAGATGTAAGAGACAACATAAGATGTAAGAGATCGTTTGTTTGCAAAAATGCAAAACAAAGTTCCAAAGTCGTTAAATAAACTCCACTGGGTTTGTTCGTCAACATACTGGCGCTCAGCCACAACCTTGCAATAGAAAAAAGCTAAAATAAGACGTAATGCCTTTCGAGAGGCATTAGAGAGCTCATACTTACACGATCTGATGTTTAATTGTATTTTCACTTCCTGTCATGTCATGCACAGACTTATGCGCTTTAAGATAATTATAGAACTCGTGTCATACGATGAGACACGACATATCTTCACTATTTTATGACCACCGTAATTGTTTGTCGCACTTTCCGTAGGGCCCTTCTGATTGGATCGAGGAGATGTGACTACATTTTTCGTAGGAACAAACTTAGCCCGTCGAGGAGGTAGTAGTTGTCCCCTTTTTCATGTAAGTGCTATCACCAGAAAAAATCTAGGTTCGGTAAGATGAGGAAGGAAAATGAGAATTTTTACAGCCTACTTTAGTTCATCACGATCAATGTTATTTCGTAATGTGTTTTTTTTAGCCATTCTTTAGGGTTATCAATCCATTTACGAACTGTACCCCTGTTAGTATATTCCGCCCTATGTCAAACGGCCTCCGCGGATTCGTAGATCGCGGGCCTGGACAAAAGACTTACTATTCGAGATCCTCGTATGATGCCGATGGCTGTAAGATAGTTAATGCGAATATGTGCATTATTTGGACGTGAAAGACCTAGCTGTCTAGGCCTTCCGCCGAAATGGGTTGCACTTTGAGTGCAGAAGATAGGGCAGCCCTTGCACGGAGCAGAGCCATCGATAAAAACTTGAAAGCGGAGAGTGTTCGCGCTGAAAGAGAAGTCAAGTTGTTGTTACTTGGTAGGTTGAAGTAAGCTTCGTATATGTATGGTTGGTGTTTTTAATGAGTTTGCTTTGTTTTTGCTCGAGAAAATTGTTAGATTTTGCTTATTGGGAGTTTTCTGTTTAATTCGATAGAATATTTCCCTCTTGAGTGTGAAATTTATGTCGAACTTTGAGCGTTTGAACTGAGCAATTTTGCAGACCAAAGCTGACTCTGCGAAGTCTGGAGGCGTGGACCTCTAACTGATTTTACCGGCATCGATGAGTTTGCAAACCTCCACGAACTGTATTCACTCGTGAGACTCAATCCAACTGTGTTCTTATTTCTTACAGGTGCAGGAGAATCGGGGAAAAGCACCATAGTAAAGCAAATGAAGTATGTGACATTTGGCGATTTTCATAAGCTTGTTTACAACTTGGTTACCCGTTCTGTTTACAAGGCAAATGTAATGTGTTCTCAGCATAGTTGGTCTTTGGTTTTTCTATTTTAGAATCATCCATGATCATGGTTTTACAGCAGAGGACTACAGTCAATATAAGCCCCTGGTTTTTAGTAATGCGATCTACTCTCTGCTAAAAATCATTCGAGCGATGGACAAACTGCGGATAGACTTCGAAACAGACGAGAGACTAGTAAGAAAGATCATCGTAATTCGCCTGAATTTTTCTTTGTTTATTAGCTATCTTACTTCATATATTCGACTGGATTAACAGTCGACGGATTAGTGAACCGTGCAGTCGTTTTGAATATTGGCTTTACATTTGTAGATGGACGCCAAAATGGTGTTCGATGTGGTGGCCAGGGCGGACGATCAGGAACCGTTCACGCCCGAGTTAACAGCAGCAATGAAGCGGTTGTGGCAAGACGGAGGAATAAAACAGTGTTTCCGGAGATCTAGAGAATATCAACTGAACGACTCTGCGAGATAGTAAGTGTATATTTTGGCGCCGAGGCCACTTTATTATTAACACTGTCCTTTAGAAATTAACGCAGACGATAATCACAAATCGGGCCAATTTTAAGTTGTTTTGATCATTGCGGTGGACACTTCTGGGCATGCTCCGATCCTGAAACAGTTTCCCCGAAATGAAGGTGGAAACTTCTCGCCAAAGAGAAATAAAATAACCTTGCGGTTTTTAGGAGAGAAATTAACAAACCTCTGCTATGTAAACGGGCATTTTCAAATATTGTAAGCTAGTGTGAGGTAGACTGTTTGTCATCATACGGATGTCTTGCAATTCATTAGACTTGCTGGATGAAAGTGACATCGGTTATGTATCATATTTACCAAGTAATACGAAAAGTTGACCTTGCATAATGACCGTTAAGTTGGTTTCGTACCTTGCAAATTGTTTGGAATTTCTCGTAGGCTGTTTTGCAATAAATTTGGGCGCGTGCGATCATAATTACTGCTTAAGTTTGCAAAACAACTTTTGCACCTTTATCTGTAAACACTAGTAATTCTTACGTACATCTCAACTTGCGTGATGTTTACTAAAACCGATAAATTTTTCCAAATAACGTATGACAAGCTATTTATATTGTTTTTAGTTGATCTGTAGATATTTTTGTGGTGTTTTCATGGAATTATTTCTTCGAACCTTTTTTTACATTATTTGAGTAATCAATCAGAACAGATGTTTCCCTTCAGGAGAGTTATCCAAACTTTCCACAGCAAACTTTCTTTCTTCAAACATAGCAAAACTTTCTTTCTTTCTTCGAACATAGCAAAACTTTCCATAGCAAACTTTCTTTCTTCGAACCTTTTTTTACATTATTTGAGTAATCAATCAGAACAGATGTTTCCCTTGAGGAGAGTTATCCAAACTTTCCATAGCAAACTTACTGTAAATTTTATGTCACTGATTAAAAACTAATTGTTCATCCAGTCTCCAGTATTTCCCCACTTTGTGGAAAGGTGTAAAATCATGGGAAAACACTCAAACACTTTTTTTTCTCATAGTAGTAAATTAAAAAGTAAACCCTATGAACCAATCGTTGAACAATGTTTTCATGTTGTTTTGCAAAACTGCACTGAAAACCTCCTTCAATTCAGGCCAATGTTTTTCTTTAAATGTTGTTTTTGATGAAATGTTTTTAGTGCAGTGTGAGCCAGTTGACACAAGTGCAGACTTGTCAAATGTTTGGTTTGAACAAACATAACCTTTGCTTGCACCTGATCCCTTTCAACTAAGTACGACATAATGTCAATTTTGATATTCCTCTGATTAATACAATAATGAATCAAAGTGTAGTTTGTATAACCTTGGACCTGTCATCTGCAGAGGTTAAACAGCTATTTTAAAAAATCCAATGAGGTATTGACTGGTGCACTTCAGAAATTTGTAGTAGCCAGCCAGCAAAAATCAGGGGGGTGTCAGCACTTTTCAGTGAGGTCCTTAGACTTATATTTCTGGCCTAATTAGGATCCCAAGAATTTCTGGGTTACAAATCTTGATGACCCTCCCCTTAGAAGTAAATTTCTTTAGGTTTTGCAAACAAATTTCTTTGATCATCCAGATCAAATTTTTTTTCTTGTGATTACACCTCAATATATAGTAAGTATAATAATGTTGATGTTCTGTGTGACCCACTTGATTCCTGTGACATGTAAGTGTTGATTGTAGGAAAGTTTTGCTTTCAGTTGTTTATAAGTTGTTTTTTTACCTCCAATTTTTATCTGTACCTGATGCCTATGGAAGCCGAAAAGGGACACTCCAAAAATATTTTTCAAATCCCGAAAAATATTTCAAATCGCAATATTTATGTTTAACTTACTGTCGAAATATGTGACAAATCCAAAGATATTTTGCAAATCCAAAAAAATACTTAGAAATCCCAAAAATTTTTTTTAAAATCCGAAAATATTTTGCGAATCCAAAAATATTTTTTGAAAAGCAAAAAAAATTTTTCAAAATCCGAAAATATTTTGCAAATCCAAACAAATATTTTGTCACGTGCTATTTGCGCCAGCAGTCACCCAGCATGCACCGGCGTTTTCTTGCCATATCCCGCATCATCCCGCATACAAAATGGTGAAGGAACGAGGATAGAACATGTTCTGTCATAAATGTGGAAGAGAATGTGGGAAGAATGAAACATTCTGCCATTCCTGTGTAACACTAAAATGGCATGAAGAGGAAAGTGTGTTGTCCTGCTCGGGAGACGAAAGATTGGCTATAGAACATTACTTTAATAAGGGATTTCGTTACGAAACCATTGTTCACTTTCTAGCAGAATACCATGGGATTTCAATGAACGTGAGGACTTTTGAGAGAAGGCTACGTCACTATGGGTTTCAAAGAAGAAACCACCTTCATTCAGAACACACTGTTCGGGAAATAGTTAGAGGAGAAATTGTTGTAAAATGGGGTTGACAGGCCTACACAACTCCCCAGCGCGTGTTTAGAGTAGCCTATTCAAAGTTTGGCCCCACTGAGTATGTCTTTGGGCGACCGTCCTCTTTTGTAAGATACGAGAAACGGATTTTTGTATATTTCGTTGAGTAGTGGTTGTGTTTCTATTAAATGCCAGTGTCTCATGAGAATTTGCTTTAGGTTTGGCACTGATGGTTGGTATTGTGTGACACAAAAGGCAAGATTCGTTGGTTCGTCTTTTGTTTCTGTTGAAGAGCTAATTTCCTGTTTTTTTAATTCACATCTGAGAGGGTTGTGCTAATGAGGTCCTCTCGGTAGCCTCTCTTTAGCAAATGCGCTTCATTTGTAATTTTCTCAAATATTGTTTGAGAGGAGTTTGTTCTAAGAAGTCTAAGGGACTCGCCTTTTATGAAGTCTGTTTGAAATCCTTGTGGGTGACAGGAACTGTAGTGTGTATACTGAGATGTCTCAGTTTGTTTAAAATGAGTACGCACATCAGGGATTGCGTCTTTTTTCAATCGTTCCCCTTTGTAGATGTACAGCTATTTTTTTCACTGTCTCGATCGTTACGTTGTCTTGATTGCTTTCAGCTTGCGCCACGTGCGCTGATTCGATCGTACTACAGTTCTTAGTGTTCCCATTTAACACAAATTTTTTTTTGGATTTCAAAATATATTTTTGGATTTGCAAAATATTTTCGGATTTCGAAAAAACTATTTTTGGATTTCAAAATATTTTTTTGGATTCACAAAATATTTTTGGATTTTGTAAAAAATTTTTTGGATTTCTAAATATTTTTTTTTTGATTTGCAAAATATCTTTGGATTTGTCAAACTTTTCAACAGTAAGTTTAAAATAAATATTGCGATTTGAAATATTTTTTGGGATTTGAAAAATGCTTTTAGATTGTCCCTTTTCGGCCTACGTACATGCCATAGATAAGTTCTCATCAAAATTCCTTGTTTATGCCGTTTCAAGCTCTCTATGTCTTCTGTGTTTGCCTGTTTCTTCCATAATACAGATATGCAGTTGCCTCTTTTATTTTCTGTCATTGGACAAGTAATGAGCATAAGGATGTTGGCTAAATTGAATTTTCCGGAGGTTTAACTCTCATCCCCAGTTTCCTATACATGGCTGAATCCAATATGGCTTCTCTTTGTTACTTTACGTCATTCTCATTGTTATGCATCATTTAAACAGCAAATTTTGCTGACAAAGAAAGTTGCATTAGTCAGATAAGGTTTTGTTGTGTATTCTGGAAGACATTGGAATGTCAATAATGCATTGATCAGATTGTCTGTCTAAAAATGTTCAATTTCTTGGTTAAGTAATCCCTGTCCATGTAAAGTAACTTATTTTTTTAAGTTATTCAGACTCTCTTTTCTTGGTGTTTTATTCCTTCTTTCGTAATTAATTTTCTTTGCTTAGACTTGATTTAGAAAGATTGAGACTTAAGGTAGATCAGATAAATATTCTATGGTGATATGGTAGCATAGACTGACTGAGACCAGTTTATGGTACCTATATCAACAAGCAGAGATAAATTTTAGGTAATACTTGCACATTCCAATGATGATTCATCAGGAGCAAGTTTTGTTGAACAATTTGAATATGGTTGATAAAATTTCATTGTGAAAAATCCGGGCCAATAAATAGCAATAATTGACAAAGTCCAAAGCAAAAGTAGCATAAAAGGAACAGTGTAATCAGATCCTCATCAATTTTCAAAACAAGAAATAGTTCTGGTCTTAGTACATTAATACTTGTGTGGGTTTTGAATTGGAAGATACTGGATTCACCGGCAGGGAATCATATGTAAGAAACTGCAAAACAGCACAATATAAATAACCAAAACTTAAAACGGCAAGGAATTTTGATGAAAAGTGATAATCCTTTGTAACACAATCATAGACCCTCTTCTGTTGCAAACTGGGTTGCAGCCATATTTCACAGCCTGCTCATATTGCTCCTCAGAGCAAGGTCAACAATCCTGGCATAATTTGTAATGCATGCTCTCTTGGACAAAAAAAATTCTCCGCTAGGTCATGTATTTCTTTGAATAATAAACATGTGGTCAGGATGATCTTAGGTAGGAGAATCTTGGTTTGTTTTCCTCAGCCAAGGCTCGTAATTGTTGAATAGAAACCAGAAAATAAACACAAATCAGATGCCAGATCTGAAAACCTTATCTTTTTGCAAACCAATTTCTGAAAAATGATGATAATAATAATAATAATAATAATAATAATAATAATGATAATGATAATAATAATAATAATAATAATAATAATAATAATAAAACCTAAATTAGCTGTATTAAATTTAGCTGTATTAAGTAGCACTTTGATCATTGCAAGAACATTTAAACTGGTTACAGCGTAAGAATTTTAAGGACATTATGATTTGGTTTTTATGAACAGGATTTTATGAACATTTTAAGTCAAGGATATTTTAAGAACCATACAGTAAATCATGAACATTTAAAAAAAAAAACATCTTAGTATTGGGCCAATTGACACTTTTATCGTTTTATATTGATCATTTATATTTAAGTAGTATTAGATATTATTATAGTTAACAGTCCAGTCATGCAGATAGGCTACGAATTTTCGCCCTGTCTTGCTTAGCTCACTAGCATCCAAACGAGTATACTGCATCATAATAACAACCACAAACTGCATTAACAGCAAATGAAATCCCAGCACTCTCTCCTCTCAGTTGAAATGTCTGCTTTAGAAACTCTCTATGGTGGCTAATTTTATAAAGTTCTGTGACACAATTATAAAACCTTAGATCTCTCCCTAAGTAGTGTGGTGTTTTGGTTGTATCAGATTGCATTCTTTTTTTTTTAATATTTTTTCTAGTTATTTAGATGCAATAGAAAGAATTGGTGCAGAAAATTATGAACCCACAGCACAGGATCTCTTACGGACAAGGGTGAAAACCACAGGCATTGTTGAAATCCAGTTTGATTTCAAGAGGCTGCATTTCAAGTAAGTAGCAGACCTTTGAATTTTATGGAAGGGCTCTTTATTTTTTCAAATAATATTTTGCAGTGGGATATAACATATATTCTTGGCTCTTGTTTGCAGATTGTTTGATGTAGGAGGGCAGAGATCTGAGCGTAAAAAATGGATTCATTGCTTTGAAGATGTTACAGCTATAATATACTGTGTCGCATTGAGTGCATACGACTTGACACTGCAAGAAGATGAAACTACAGTAAGTTAATGTTCCTCGGCCCGCCAATGTAGAAGTAATTAAGAGTGGGGAAATTAGACCACCTGTGATAGTTTTCTTTAGTAGGATTGAGGCAACTGCCTCCCAGTTAGCTCAGTTGGTTAGAGTGCTGGATTGTTGTGCGGGAGGTGGAGGGTTCGAGCCCCGGCTGGACCAACACTCAAGGTCTTAAAGTAATTGAGGAGAATGTGCTACCTTTCTATAATATCAAAAAATGGATAGACATTCTAGTCTTTTTGGATAAGGACGATTAAATTGTAGGTCCTGTCTCCCGTCTCTATTAATTAGTTAATTCGGTTAAGCAGGGAGTGTTAAAGAACCCACTCACGAGATTACTGTGATGTGGTCTGGCGTGTTTACTGGGAATTGGGGGAAGGGGGGTGTGGCCTTGTCATTGTTAAAGTGGGATCCACTGTAATTGGCTAAAGCTGGAGTGGTCTCCCTGCCTGAGATAATTAGGCAAAGCTAAATATATACAGGGTTGTCATTAGAAAGTGTAATAAGTGTACGATCTTAACTGTGTATTATCTGAACTGAGTTGGTGGCTGAACTGAATTATGCCTGCATAGTGAACATTGTGTTAAAACTCTGAAATGCTAAGTTTTGTGCAACTCATCCTTTTGCTCTAAAGGCATATTTGTTACCAGCCCTTTCCTTACAGTTGTTTTGGCATTAAATGCCATGTTATAATATTGATGGGCTGCAAATGATTCTCAGTTTTTATAGCAACTAATCATCATTTTACTTTGTCTCAGAACCGAATGGAAGAGAGTTTAAAACTGTTTGAGTCAATAGTGAACAACAGATGGTTCGTCGAAACTTCAGTTATACTCTTCCTTAACAAAAAGGATTTATTTGAAGAAAAAATAATTACTTCTCCACTCACAATATGTTTTCCAGATTATTCAGGTAGGATTTATGTTTACAAACATATTAAGAAAAATTTCACAGATTTCTGTTTTGGTGATAAAGGAGTTCCACAAGTTAGCCTTTAACCCTTAAAGGTGTCTTGCATCAAAATTCTTCTGACATTATCACCCCCGAATCAAACATGAAGGTCAAGAGAATAAAGGAAATGATCACTGACTCTAGCAGCCATTGATATTCAACAAATCTTCCTCATAAGCACACCTTATAAAATGTAAAGGGGACAGTAGCGAGTATATGCATACTGATGCATGGCTCAAGATTGGGGAATAATTTTACCAAGGCCTTGATCTGGGTGGTGAGTGTTCATGAGCCAGATGTGGTACAACACTCTACCTTGAGGGTCTTAATGAGGTTCACTGTTAGCCTAAAACAGCCCAAACATTTAGCCATTAAGCATAAAAACTGACCAATTGTAACCATTAATGGTTAAAAGTCAACTGTTAAAAAAAGTTTCTCCAGCTTTACTTCTTTCTTCCTTTCTTACTCCCAGTGATGCCCATGGGGAGGTCAGATGGTTCTGGACACTCCCCCTCCCCTCACCACATCTTTGTGTTTCTTTGCCACTTGTCAGACACCAAATTTCTTGCCACAAAAAGATTGCATCCCATGTTCTATGAAGTATTGAACATTAAGAAGTTTATTTGTGCACGATCCTTGCAGTAAAGAGAACTAGGATCGTGCACAAATATGTTTCTATAACAGCAGTTCAGATATATGAATTTCATATATTCGTTGTGTTTGATTAAGAAGTTTTAAAATATTTCTCAGCTTATTTAGACCTTAGCTTTGTGAAAACCTCATAGTTTTCTAAAGTAAAGTTTTTCCCACCTCCCTACCTCTTTCCCACCCACCCACCCACCCCCCCCCCTTACCTGGGCATTGAAAATTTTTGGATTGGCCCCTGTGCACCAGTGGGTAGGTCTAAGTGGGCCATACACATTACATTGGATACAACGTACAACAAACACCATTTGGGCCTTATTCTAAAAGAGGCAATGAAAAGTGGTTTCACCACTGCACCGCAGTCAGGAAACCTTGAGTATATTTTCCCCTTTGTTCAAACTACATGTTAACATTCTTACTCTCAGGTTGGTCTTTGCTTGCAGGGCCAAACACATATGAAGCTGGCTGCCTCTACATTAGGAAACAATTTGAGGCCAAAAACTTGAACGATGAAAAAGAAATATATGTTCATCTAACATGTGCGACAGACACGGACAATATCACTTTTGTATTTAATGCAGTTACTGATACAATTATTGCAAATAACCTCAAAGGGTGTGGATTATACTAAACTGATTAGTGTGGCGGTCAACTTCTTAAGAATCATGGCTACGGGAAATACGTCGAATGCTGGGACTCAGAAAGGAACAATCATTGTGTGAATATTGCAAAGATGGTGGTAACTGCTGTGACAAGAGGAACTCATATTACACTTGAAAGAGAATAACCTTCTTTAAAAAGAATAAAGCATTCACAAGACAACAGGAAAACAGTCGTGTTCCAACCTAGAAGACAACAAGCATCTCGCAGGATGAGAACTACTTTTGCATCTGGATTTTAAAATTATCTGCAAGTTCGTATACAGTAGACTTCTACTTCTATGATAATCTACGGTTCGTTTGTGAGATGAAGTCAAAAACCCTCTTCCAACTGCGTCTCGTTACCGTACACACAATGAAAAAAAAATGACAAAAGATATGAATTTTTTTTTTATTTTTGATTGAAATTTTTATTCATGCCACAGTGCATGCTGTAAATTAAACAAAAAGTGCTTGACCACCTGCTTTTTAAACCCATCCCCAAGATCAATGTATTTCCATTCTGGTTGGTGTTTGATTTGGCTAAAGGCCTGACAAAAGTGGAATATTGAGAATGAAAGTCATCTATGTAGGATACAACAATAGTTATTACCACTATAATTATTATTATCATAGCTTGCACATTTAACTTTGGTACCACTAATTCATTTTGGAACACAATTTTGAGGCTCCCATGAGAGTAATATAGACTGGAAAAATAGAGATTGTATAGTACTCAAGTTGTCTTTGTGGTACCTTAACATTCGTCTAAATTATGCTTTTTGCCTATAAAAAGCAATTACATTGATTTATGTTCGTTGACTGTTGTTAAAGACTAGCCCAGGGACAAAATGAGCTGCAACAGTACTGGGTGAAGAAAATGTTCCATGACATTTCTTAAATTAGCACCACAAGTCTACCAACTATGGCAATCAAATTAAGTGAGTTAAACTCAGGAAGTAATTTGGCAAGAAATTTCAAATTGTTTGACTACTTTGTAAGATTGATTTTAAATAGCCAGCATATTACTGCCTTTGAATTGTACGACACATTGTCCAATAACCAATTATCTAACAATTAACTAGGTGTAAGAAACTCATTTGTGGAATATTAGAAGAAATTGAAACATTTTATAGCATCTGTACACAGTTGGATTAGTTGCATCAGAAACTTCGGTGACTATTGGTTTCCTGGAATGGAAATCAGACTACTGTTGTACAGCCCCTTTGCCCCAGAGTTATAGCATCTGTACACAGCTGGATTAGTAGCATTAGAAACTTCAGTGACGATTGGTTTCCTGGAATGGAAATCATGGACTACTGTTGTACAGCTCCTTTGCCCCTGAGAGTCATGAGCTTCTAATTTTTCCTTGTAATATCACCTCTGAAGCAAACAATTTACTTTGAAGGGTTTCATAGGAAATAGTCTTTAGTAATATCTAATAGACTGCTGAAATCTCCTTTCAGATTATTTTCAATTTCCTTGAGCAACACCAGGAGAAGTTGAGGTTGCAGTGTGTAACTCAGTCACTCCCAAGATCTCATTAGTAATTCTGCTTTCTCTATGCCAAAAAATCATTTTGATGTTGGTTCTAAGAATTTGGTATTGGATTGAGTAATAATCCCCTTATTGATATATTTGGTCATTTTTGTTACTTTTTGTGTGAATATTGTACTGATATGTGAGGAGAAATTCTGCCTTGATCACTCATGGGAGTTAAAGAGTTAATTCTAGGGCTTTTCCCTTATTCAATGCAAAGTGAAAAAGTATTCTTGTTTCTGACTACAGCTCAGTCAATTAAGAATGGACTGATGTAGGCTGTGAATGGAGTCTGTGCTCTTTAAAATAATTTGGTGCAGCTTCTTGAAGCCAAAATGGATCTACAACACATACATCACGCATGTAACACTTTGTGGTGTGTACAAGTTCATTGTAAACAACATACTGTGGCTTAGAACCAAACAGTGATGATGTTGGATGAATGGTGACAGGTTGCCTGTGAGTCACGGTCAGATATGTTCCATCGAGCTGCTGCTCTGCAGCATTCATGAAGAGTCCTTTTGCGAGACAGTGCCGAATGTTCACAGTGTCCTTGCCACAAGATACCAAAGGAATGTCCAGTCTTAAGCAAATCTCTCTCAGTTGTTTTCTTATGTCCATAACACGTTTAACAGTCTGTGAGTTGATGAAGTGTTCATGACACCACTCTTTGTGGCCACTGACAGCTTTGTAAGCTCTGTAAATATTCAGAAGAGTCATTTGGTCACCTTCTGATGAAAGAAACTTCTTGTGCACTGCTAGGGCATGGTCCCGTTTGTTTTGTGGGGTGTAAGTAAGGGAGTCCACTGAAAGCAAGGCCACAATGGTGATCATCTCTTCACTGCATTTTAATTCCTGTGATGACAGAATCACTTTGGCCAGTCGGGGCTCCAGTGGAAAATTTGCCATTTTACGACCAAGAGGCATTAACTAAAGGAGCAAAAAAAAATTTAAGGAATTTGTTCTAAATGCAAAATAGCAGTAGGGAAGGGGGAATGATACAATTCTGGTTAACATTATGGACCTGAACTCTTATGCGAGTCCTGTTGGTCCTCATGTGAGCTTCTTTGTCTTAACTTCCTTTGCAAAAAGTAAAACAACAGCAAATTCCTGTTCAATCTGGACACTGGATGATGAGCCACTGAGTTGAACAACTTGTGATCTATTTTTTAGCCTTTCCGGTGTGCAAAGAGGAATTCAGAAGAAAGAAAAGAAAGAATAAAATTGATATGACTCAAACTTTCAATAATAGTCGGAATTTAATGAGACCAAGATTTTTACACAGACAATGTGTTTTTCAGTGAGAGAAAAGAGCACTCTGTTTTCCTTTTTACTTTGTTTTGTTTTGTACATCCTTGTTCTCTATCATTTTCACAAAATTTTCTCCAAACTGCTCCAAAGTCAAAATCTGCAAAATGGACTTCCACTCTTGGTAGCTCTGAATTTTAAACTACTGGTACTCTTTGGAATAATTTTACCTCAAAGCCACTGTTCCCTTTCATTACTGCTCCTAACGTTGCCAGCTGCTCCAATGCATTTTCTATAGCATCTTGTGAAGGACAATCGAGAAAATCAAAATGCAGAACATCTGATATACCAAGGGCCATGAGCTGCAAGACAACACTTGTCAAGTTACACCGTTGGATTTCTGGCATTGTCATCTCCTTCAGCTCATCAAACTGTTCCTCTGTATAAAGTCTGTAACAGACTCCACTTGTTTCTCGGCCTGCCCGACCAGTCCGTTGCCGTGCCTGAGCCTTGGAGAGTGGTTGAACCTGCAGTATGTCGAGGCCAGTCTTAGGATGAAAAGCTGGAAACAGAACAATAAAAAGGGAAGTTATTATCAATGATTGTGAATCTGTTTCTTACCAATAAGAAGTATTGCTACCATTCCAAAAAACAAAGTCATCTCTCACACTGAATGGCCTTATAACTCAACCTATAACCCCTAAAAGAAATCAGCTTGTTATTTCCTTATTTCACCTGATAATATCACTGGATCACACTTAAGGTCACGAGACAAAAGGAACTGATCACACACTAAAGAAGCTCAGGACTGTTTACACTTATTCCCAAGATTTTAAAATCAATTATTCTTGCAGTTCACATACATTGCTTACAGTATAAGGTAGATTCTGAAAACTGTATTGCTTGACTAAAGTAGATTTCCAGGACTTTCCAGTACCTGCAGTTGTTTTCCAGGACTTTGCAGTCTTGGTAAATGTTAAAATAAAATTCCAAGACTTTTCAGGGTTTCTGGGATCTGCACAAACCCTGATTAGTTTTTCTAAATACTGACTGCCATTCACTTCCTTGCAAATTAGACCAGAGAATTCCACTTTTAGATAAGATAACACCCTCTAGCCAAACAAGCTTCTCTGCTTTCATATCCTGTTTGCAAGACAATGCATTGGAATTGCAATGAGATTTTACTAGTGAATTACTTCTGAGATTTAGGGCTTAAACAAATTCTCCTTGTCGGCACCTAAAGAAATGTATAGAAAACAGTATGGAGAATATGCATACTGATGTACGAGTGTAGAGGGTCAAAGAAGCATTGGCAAACTGACCAAATTATCTTAGTGTTGGTTTAGTGCAACATTAAAGTTAACCACAGATTTTACCCACCTTTTCCCTTAACAAAACCGGTATCTACCACATATTTGACTCCTGGAATGGTGATTGATGTTTCTGCAATATTTGTTGCCAGAATAACTTTTCTTTTACCAATTGGAGCTGAAATGAACACTTTCATTTGATGCTGAGATGGCAGGGCAGCAAACATTGGACAAACAAGAACCTCGGGGCATCCTAAGAAAAAAAAAAAAGAGAAATTTATGATAAACACTCCATAAAAATACAGTCGTTTATAATTTAAGAAACAAACTAAGAATAATTTTGGTTCCAGCCAAACAGAGAAAACAATCAGTCAAGTTTTCCCTATCAAACCTTTAGCTCCTGGAAATGATTGAGGAGTATACTCTCCTGGAAAGAGGGTCCTCTATACCCCTTAGTAAAACTTAGTGGCATAAAAATGTTTGGCCTTTTCACACATTGCAAATAAAATAAAAAGCTCTTTCATGTCCAAGTAAAATTCAAGACAATTACATTGAATTAATATTTTACTTTTTCTATTATTGACCAATCTTGCATGACAAAAGATGACATAATGTTTTATCTTATTTGTCCAAGAACCTATAAGGGTCTGTTTTGAGACATCTATCAATCCACATGAAGTCCTTCTCCAGTCAAAACCCCAGTCAAAACCCTGGTTAATCTAACCACAGTTGTTCAAGAATGATACATACAGTTTCTGAACAATAAAATAGCTCAAGATTCATCTTGCAAAACAAAATGATTCACAAATCACATGTAATTTAGCTGCTAATTCAAGGGTCACATTTTAATAAAAAAGTTGGTTCTTGTGGACATGGAAAGATCTCATCATCTCTGATCACAATTCATGAATAATAATTTTAAGAAATCACAATTGATGAGAAAAAAATTTCCTGATCATGCTTTGCATAAAAAGAATAGGGGAAAATATCTACATGATTCGAAAAAAAGTGAAGAAAGCAGACAAACCTATATATTTACTTACTCAACAGCCCAATAGGTTAAGGAAAGCACAAGGAAAGTTTGCAAACAGAAAGCTTTTTAAAATTGCAAAAGAATTACTGGCACAATCAATGATAAGTTTTAATATAATGGTCACTCAGTACATTTCTTCTACCTAAGGTATTTCATGAAGAATGTTATCTTTAAGTTATCTGATTTACAAAGAAATTTTAGATCACCACAAATGGTAAATTACAAATTATACTCATGAATCAGAACTGAATGTCAAAAAACTTATGCTCAGATTGTTAATGAAACAATGCAAATTCATATTAAGGACTGAATCAGCCAACTAACCTGCTCCACAATGCTGTGCACAATCTGTCACTAACTTGGCTAAAGATTCAATTTCATCTTGTCCAGTCAAGAACACCAGAATGTCTCCACTACAAATATAAAAGTTTAGATCAGAGGCAGTTTGGTTTTGTCACTCCTTTTTTATGCTATGGAAGCAATTACATAAGCTGAAGTGGCTTTTTTTACACTGTACACTACATATTAATTGCAAGATGCAATGTTATCTGGGCTGTCCAATTTGGAAATAATTGGATGAAAAAATTCTGACGACAGCCAAAATTAAATGAAACTGAATTTTTTGATTGCAGCTCACTTACAAGGATTATTCCTTCAATTGTGTATCATCCATTGGATGAAATATGACTTCTTTCATTTAATTTTATTATCTTTAGCAGGTTATTTACCCTGGTGGCATTTCCTGGTGTAGTTGCATGACTGACACCAGTGCTGCATGCACATAGTCTTTTTGCTGCTCCACTGCATACATAACTTGCACTGGGTGCTGACGTCCTTCGATGTACAACACCTTAGCATTGTTGAAATAGCGTGAAAAATGTTCTGCCTCTAAAGTGGCAGACATAACAACAATTTTAAGAGGTTTCTGATGTTTTTCTTTACGCATCTCCTGTGCTGCCTTCACAACACCAAAAAGGACATCAGTGTGTACAGTTCGCTCGTGAGCTTCGTCTAAAATAACAACCGAGTATCTGTGAAGTATGGGGTCGCCTATAGCTTCTCTCAGCAACATTCCATCTGTCATGTATTTAACGCATGTTTTTGCCGTGGTAACGTCTTCAAATCGCACAGTATACCCAACTTCTTCCCCCAGTTGCACGTGCATCTCCTTAGTAACTCTCTGGGCTATGCTTATCGCCGCCACGCGCCTTGGTTGTGTGCATGCGATAGCTCCGAGCTTCGTCAAGCGTGCCTCGTGGAGATATTGAGGAATCTGTGTTGTCTTTCCACTGCCCGTTTCCCCAACAATTACCACGTTTTCTTTGCTTCGTACTTCTGCAATTATCGCATTACGCCCGGTGTAAATAGGCAAATTAAATCTCTGCTTTCTCGCTGGGCTGTGAGCCGTGTGGTGGCCGTGTTGTTGTTTAGAATTGCCGTTAGTTTCACGCTGTGTTCCATTACCAGCTGCATCGGAGAACGAAAAGGAACGAAACAGCGGTCTTTTCGCCGATGGATTTCCACTCTCAGAGATTGATCTTTTCACTCTTGGATACATCACACCTCCTCAGTTACAAAGTTGCTCTGGAAGCAAGACTAACGAAGTAAGGGATCACAATAAATTCCAACCCAATGATGACGGATCCGCCATCTTGAACTCTACCTGTTACGTCATGTTGGTCACATGAAAACGCTTCAGCCTCCAGACCTCTAACGTCCTTGCTTTGAGCCTGTTCACTTTTTTTAGAGTTAAAAGTTCATGCTCTCAAGAATTCCGAGTTTGTTACACTTTTCCTTTAGTTTTCCTTCTTTCTTTCTTTTATTTTTAATTGTGAAAATTGCAAAGCACTGTTTTCATCCTGCTAGATCAGTAGATTTTTCCAGAGATTTATCTGCAAACGCTATGACCTTAGTGGCTTGATCATTAACCCCCGCTTTTTTATATCGAGTTGCAATTAGCATACCAAGATAACTATGAGAAAAAATTTTCAAAAATTCTGTGTTGTAGGTGTGGAGCCATCTTCATTGCCATTAGTATATATGAACTGACTTCGCGCGAGTTTTTCCATGTCAACGTAGTGCTGCCATAACGACCTCTTGTATTAAGGGGTAGGTCTCGAAATTTTCTTGAGCCGATTGGAATAATCAAATTACACAGCAATGAACAGTTTCAAAATAACGTGATTAACTACCTTTGCCATTTCGTAACTTTTGTTATTTAGTATTTTACATCGGAGATTCCTTCGAGATTCGTAATGTTCAAGTTAAAAGAGGTCGATCGTGGGTTGCTAAAGGTGAGTTTTCAACGTATGATATGAATCAACTGTATAGTAATCAGTGTTCACCAAAGAATTTAAAACTGAAAAGCCGAGGGGATCATATGGTTCACAAGGTTCATAAGGCTTTCACATTGCAGCCACGGCGAACGTCCTCGTTGCAAATGTGAGCATAAACGTTTTCTTTGCGCGACACATGGAATACCTCCTATTCAGAATTGCATAGAGTTAGCAGGTCCCTTTTCGCGCAGAATGTTACCATAACAGTCCACAGACAACAGCCGTCTTATTAATTACTAATGTTTTAAGGTCCTCCCTTTTGAACAAAACTGACAGAAAACCTTGAGAATCCCAAGGAGACCGAAGTCGCGTTTCAACTAGAATTTCATGTCTTCATCCGAAAAAGAACTGTCTTGACGTGGACAGGCCATGGCCGTGAAGACTGGGAAAAAGAACTCTGTCTTGACGTGGACAGGACATGGCCGTGAAGACTGGGAATTGTTGCGAATCATTAAATCAGCTTGATCTTGCAAATTATGTTTTCACACCCCCCCCCTGCCCCCTCTCCCAAAAAGTGTTTGCAGTTCGATCCTATATAGCGCCACTTGGAGTTACACCATTTTCGCGACGCGGCATTAAAATTTTAATCTGCTCTTAAGTTAGCTGGGTAATTGCGCGAGTTCGCCGCGGAGAGGGTGATGGGGTGCCTCGCCTCTTCCTCATGCTGTCCCTCCCGATCTCACTACGCCCCACGCAGTTTTCATCCGTGGCCACACTTGACATAGGAGAGTCTAAACAAGCGGTGACCATGGTTACACGAGCAGTTAGCAAGTCGCAAATTTTATCCGGGTCTGGTCTGTGGAGGGGGTCTTTTCTCCAGCATTCTGTCAGCAAAGTGCCCCTGAAATGATAAAATGGAGAGGAAATTTAGACAAGGGCTACAGACAGCATTAGAACTAGAGAGCTCTTTCATTCACTTTCCGTCGCGTAATTTTCTACACACGAAATTATACCTACATCGACAAAAACAAAGGATAACTTCGAGGCCATATTTTCAGTCCAATTCTTCGATATGATCTGACTTCAGTTTAAAATATTTCGCGAGATTTCGAAATTAAATGAAAGGCTTCCTGTTTTGATTACTAAGGCTAAAAACAAAGCAACGTTAGCTGATTCCTCAGTTTCCTCAAAGAAGCTTTCAAGATATTTTACAGAAGACTACAGTGTTCTAAAAAACCGATAACATATCAACATAAAAAAATAGATAAAGGAAGGTATTTCCCAAAAAGAAAAAGGCAAAATTCACGGGCAACTTCGTTAGGGATCGTAATTCACGTAAACGTGAACACTTACAGTTCGCTAGTACACCCGTGTGGTTTTTCCATGATGCGCCCTAGTTTGACTCTCTCCACAACTTCTCCGTTTGAGAGGCCCTGGTAAGGAAAGCTGCCAAACGTTGCCAGTTCCCATAAGGTCACACCCAGGCTCCATACGTCAGACTTGGTTGTGAATACACCATCTGCGAGAGACTCTGGAGACATCCATCGAACAGGAAGCATGCCTGTTGACAAACACATGACATACTACAGTAAGGAAGCGAAGAAGGGCAAGAATTTACTAACATACATTTGATAAGGGTATCAACTAAAAATATGGGAGATCAGGATGAGAGCAAAACAAAAACCATCTGGAAAGAGTAAAACTACGCTGCCAAAAATGTACAGACCGCAAAGCTCTGTCTGTTACCAAAAAGAGAAACTAAGATACTAGGCAACCAACTTTCCCGGTTCAAGTGTATTCTTTTCGTTTCATCCGCTTCTTTGCCTTTTATTGTCTAATTACTTTCTCCAAAGGAATTTGACGACTACAGGATGAGATGGTCGTGATTAACTTACAAACAAGAAGCATTACCCAGCTGCCTCTCCCCCTGACCCGGTCCCTGCCTGTTTCCGACTTAACGCCACCAGTTAAGTGAGTCTCGAAACCCTGATCATTCCCGCAGTTCTCTCCCCTTTCGGCTTCTCCGCAGAGGCTTTGTAGTAATGTAGACATAAAGCGCAGTTTTACCTTTTCGTCCAAACCTGTAGTAATCCGAATCGTAAATGGCCCGCGCCATACCAAAGTCACCGAGTTTGACCACATGACCTGACCCTACCATACAGTTCCTCAGAGCAAGATCACTGGAAAATAACGCCAAAATAACCATAGCCGAATTAAAATCTCAAAGCAAATCATTTCGTATTTACAATAAAAACTAAGAAAACTCTGAACGATTTTATTCGAGTGGGACATGGCAGCGGTGTCCTGAACACGCGCGCAAACTTTCAGACCCCGAACATATTACCTTCTCTGTTAGCGGCTCAGGTTAGTAGCGACTAATTGGTTTATTCCTCTAAACACAACAACATTCCTAGATAATTTCAAGAATTTACGGTTTTCTATACTTCACAGGAACACTACATCCACTTTAATAAAGAAATGCACTCATTTGTGCCGGAGGGAGGTTGACAGGCTTTGATTATTCCCAAATCAAAACCAATCGAGTAAGGAGCAAAAAAACGCGTTTAAGTGGACAGTCAGTTGCATCCACAAACATACCGGTGAACAAACTTCATTTCTGCGAGGTAATTCAGTCCATTGGTGATGTCTAAAGCCATCGCAGTTAACTTTTTAGGAGTAACGTCTTCGGCCTGGAAGCAAATAAACGTCTATAAATAACAACAGTAATTTCTGCAAGAAGATCCGCAAACTTTACGAGAACATGAAATAACAACATGATCTGGATGGGCTATGCTGAAGACAATAGAAATGGTTGTAATCGGGAAAATTTAAATCCTTCTCTCCACTTTAAAACTGTATCAAGTTTAATCAATTCATGTTACAGTGTTACTTGAAACGCTAAGAAATATTCCTTGTTTGGTAAGTAGCGGTTAATCAACAATAAATATGGGTTATTGATCAGGCGTGAAGTCAAGATAAACAATAACCCACGAAAATCGTTTATATTTTCTTTGTACTGACTGTCCTCTACCGCTTTTTGTCACTCCACCGCCGACATTGTCCAAAAATTATGAACTTTGCGAGTCCACTCCACGCAATTTTTTCTTCTTGCGTGGGATCAGAGAGGGTAATCCCGAGCGGGCAAGATGGACCCATATTACCTGCTCAGGTAGCCAATCAGAACACAGGATTCGCTTCATATTACCCACGGGCGCGTCAGATACATCAAAAAACAATGTCAACTTATACTACCAGTTCACCGTTTGGTGACCCCAAGTTAATAAAAATTCAGCCCCTTCTTAACCTAAACACATCAACCTGAAGACGGCACCAACAGACCAATTCTCCGCTTTGAAACGATGCTGTCAAGTTTGACAACTTGTTTAAAGTTTCTTGTTCGCCTTTTTTGAACACTAAATAGCTTCATACTAACCGAGGTTCTAAATTGGATGAGAACAGACTTCCGCCCAAGATGAACGATTTCAAAAACTAACTTAAAGATAAATGACAATACCTCTTTACAATCCTGGTTTGCAAATTGACGTCTGGCCAGTAAGAAGTTTTTTAGGTCACCTGATAGGACCGAGTAAGGCAAAACAAATAAATTAAACAAATCTTAAGTGGTTCAGCGTGGTCTGTACTCTTATCGAAAACGATATTTCGTTATCACAGTGGTCAAAATGTTGTCGACTTACTAGGCGCAGCCGAGTGAGTCCGCAACAAATTTTGATCACTTTGAACGATCAAACGTTAGTCACCCATGAACATCTACTATCATCACTATCCGTATCATTTACCATGAATCATCAGCTCCATTACGGCAAAAGCTGGCTCTCCTTTGGTACAAACACCCAGCAGTTTCACAATATTCTTATGGTCAAAGATTTTCATCGTTTCTGCTTCGCTCAGGAATTCAAGCTACAAATGAAACAAGCATGCTATAACAAACCTGTGAGTGTCTTACCTACGTTTTCAAGGCAGTAAGTGATCTAATCTTGAGACAGTGGGGAATACAAGGGTTTGTTAATAGTTCATCACAAATTGTTCACGTCTCTCAGGGCTGCAAATAACGGCCGATCAACGGAGAATGTCCGGTCAAAATTGGGTACTGACCGGACAAATCCTTGGTTTGCCGGACATCTTGTCCGGTCCTTTACCAACTCGTTCAAAGAAATTTTAATTTTTAACTGTTTGCTAATCACAAGGGACACAGTCATGTTTCCAAAAGAAAAAAAAAACAACATAAAAGTAGACAAATTAGTGGTCGAGAAATTCCCGGCAGTCGCAAATTTCCGCGATGTCACCAAGTCCTGTCGCGACCGCAAATCATCGTGTCTTCCGTTATTTTATTTATTTTATTTAAGTGTTCCCAGGGTTTTACCTTTGGCTAGATACCATCATTTACTCTTAAATAAAGTGATTGATTGTTTGATCGATTGAATGATCGGAAAGCACCCTCACGAAGAATAATCTTGTTGCATCGAGAATACTCCAAGTAGCATTTGTTGCAAAGTGCAAAAAGCGAGCAAAAGGCCCAAAACCTGGAGAATCCGACCACTCTTTTACTATAACAAAAATTCACAAGTGTAACTTTAAAAAAAGGGCTCTGAGTGTATTATTTAATTATAAGTGATTTTGCCAGATGTAAAGTAAAACGGACAGTTGCGGTTGTGGCGTGCGTAACCGTTCCACGTACTCAATGCGAGGCTGCTTTTGCAGTAAAGAGTAGTAAAATTATTCACTTGTAATTTCTATTGCCAGACCGACTTGGATTCAGTTGTTTTTTAGTTGTAAAAGGATTACTTTGCAATCTGGGTTCACTATCGCAAGAGTTCGGACTGTTAAAATTTGACCGGCCAAAAACGGGTAGTGTCCGAGCAAAAGCATGTTTGACCCGACAACGTGACCGGCGACTACCCGCTAGTTATTTGCAGCCTTGTCTCTACATCATAGCTTGAAAGCATGCAGTCTGCGACACAAATTTGTTTAGCATGCACCTATTGTTCGTGCAGCCACTTTTATGAGTTTTTCCAATTCCCCCAGCCCCTCCTTCCTGCAATAATGCGCAAACGAAGTAAAAACATAAACCAGGGGAGAGGGGCTTCGCTTAATTTGCCAATATGGCAATATTGGTCAGGTATTCTACAATATTGCCATCTCAGTCGTAAAGTATCGACACTTTTTCCATTATGCTAACTGTAGCTTTAAAAACAACAACAAAAAGAAGAAACAAACTAAATAATTAGGACTGGTCGTGACTGAGGACGATACAAAAGTGACGCTATGAGCTAACAACATAGAAGTTTGGTACTTCCCTACTTGAATCCGTCATCTTGTTTGTATTTCTGCAACAAATTTTTTTTTTGAAGAACTAACCACTAAGTACTTAAATGGCTATTCTTTGTAACTATATGACAATTTTCGCTAAGACCCGCCTTTGATTCTATTCATTTACTACTCAACGTAACACTGCTTAAGACTTGACGCTCCTGTTACCTTGTCTTCAGGCAAAGAACCAATCTTCAAAGACTTCACTGCCACAGGTAACCAATCCCCCTCTGCTCCAAGCCCAATAACTTCACCACCGCACACAGCTCCAAATGCTCCTTCACCAAGCTTACGATTCAAAACAATGCTCTCCCGAGGGATCTCCCACTCGTCAAGGTGAAGCATAGGTGATTGCTCCATCAATCCCAACTCCTCCATCCTCTGTTGCGTCTCTTTGTACTTACGATCGTACCTAAGAACAGAATTTTGCACGAAGGAGGTAAGTTTCTAAAGGAACCGTGGTGTTGCGTCTGTGGGGGTAGGGGGTGAAGTATTACAGGATAATCTGGTTTTATCAAATGAGTTGCTAACGCAAATTAGCCACCGTATTTGAACCATTATTAAAATCATTTTTAAATTATGTATTTTATTTATTTATTTATTTTGGTGATAACGCGCAGAGAGAACATGCGGTTGCTTCATTCAAAATCTACATTATCTATTTCTATTATAAATGAACCTTAGCTCAGAAACATAACTGAAGTATTTGCATTGTGCCTGTGATGTGGTACAGTCTGCACTGTCGCAAATCGTGCAGAGTATTGTTATTATTTGTCGCATTGTTGTAGTTAGTGCAATTTCGGCTTTGTTTTGATCGTAAACAATGTAATTTGAGGAAATGTTAAGTGACAGACAACGCGTGGAAATCTGATAGTCTTGAACTTTGGATCTCTTTAATTGCAACCCCAAAAAACGAATGATTGACAATGAATAGAAAAGAAAGGAGAGCGAGAAGAGGTTGTTGTAGGTTATTGGTGATTAATAAAGGAGAAGAAATCGGGATTTCGTGTGAGTCTATTGGTAGTTCAATCTTGGAGGCAATTCCCAACAGCACTGCATAAATTGTACCTGCCTCACATAGTGTAAGTAGTGTAAGTAATGCAAAGTAAGCTAATTATTTCAGTAAAAAAATGTAATGAAAGTAGTGTAAATATCATACTTTTTATTGTAAGATGATTAAAAGAATCCTTTTGTAAGTAGCCTTAAACGCGAGTATTGATAAGTATAGAGTTGAATGGCAGTAGAGCATGCATGGTAAGCAGAGCTTGCATTGTAAGTAGAGCTTGCATTGTAAGTAGAGCTTGCATTGTAAGTAGAGCTTGCATTGTAAGTAGAGCTCGCACTGTAAGTAGAGCTCGCACTGTAAGTAGAGCTTGCACTGTACGTAGAGCTTGCATTGTAAGCAGAGCTTGCACTGTAAGTAGAGCTTGCATTGTAAGTAGAGCTTGCATTGTAAGTAGAGCTTGCACTGTAAGTAGAGCTTGCACTGTAAGTAGAGCT